TCATTCGTAGCTACAGGCGCGTACATCCGCGCCGTCGATATCTTACATGTATATGTTGCTTATATTGAGCTGGTATACAGAGCTTATCAGATTTCTTTCTCAATCACAGACGCATGAAGCTGTTAAGAAAGACCGATCTATGTTGGAATACAGCGGTAACCTAAAAATAGATGGTGACAGTGACAGAGTCGTAACCATTGCCGCGTGATAGATGATAGTGATAGTGAAATATATATTGACGGCAGGGAGCTGATGCCGAGGAGATCTTTCAAAAGGAAGGTGTATCCAAAATCGCACACGTACGTATATATGTTGTCTTGTAAAAGTTGTAAAAGTTAAGAGAACGAGAAAGTGATCTGTATTTGTATGCACGTGTGACAGGCACTATCGCGTAAAAAAGATTTCTCCGAAGAATGTTTATATTGTACTTCACTTTCGTTAACTTAGATGCTTTGAATGTACAATCTCGCGTCTTCAAAATATAATAATTCTCAGACACTGTTGAGGAATAATTGTCTAGCACAAGAGGTCCTCCTGTGCTAGATAATACGAGTTGCTACAGAGTGCCTCTAATTGTAAGAATCTCTTCTCCTTTACCCCCTCTTTTCTCCTTCAATCCCGAATTAACACTATTGCGTGGTTCGTATCGCGTGTCATTACCTATTATAAATGTCCTTCTTTTCTCTCGTTTTCTCACGCAGGAACATTTTATATTCAACTATATGGTATACAATTTTGCCGCTATATATTGACCGCAGGGAGCTGATACCGAAGAGATCGTTAAGAAGGAAGGTGTATCCAAAATTGCACATGTATGTACGTATATGCTTTCTTGTAAATTTTAAAAGTTGAAAAGAACGAGAAAGTGTTCTGTAGCGCAATTTGTATTGTATGCTAAAATATCTGTGAATTGAGTCCCTATTATCTATTATTATGACATAATTTTTATCAACAATATTAGAGAAGTAACGAAAATTAATTTGATTAAGTATTCAAAGCAATTGATAGTTTTTAGCATTAAGTATTTCCACTTTCTCATAATATGCTTAAAAAATATTGCAGGGGACTTGTGAGTTATGCGAAGCAATTGATACTATTAAGGTTCATTGGTCATATGAAGTTTGCACACGTCAAGCTTGACATCCTAAAGATCACAATGCATTCTGAAAACGATACCGTACAGGTTCGTTGGCGTATACGTGGTGTCATCACAGGCTGAAAGGTATTTTCTGTGTTTTGGAAGTAAAATTTGGAAAATACAACATGTCATAAAATAAGCGCTAACCAGAAAATGTAAGTGTAATCAGTGCTCTAAACATTTCTTTTAATAGTAATATAAAATTGTTCTTATAAACATTAATTATAATTTATTCAAGTTGTTTATTATTTGAAAAGAACTTGATTTTTAGTTTCGTTGTTTATTCTACTTTCAGAAAAAGATAAAATAATTTAGATTTCCTAAAATTAATTTTGTTTATGCTATCGGAGAGGAAACACTTATTATAAAATTAATTATAATACCAAGACAATTATATATAACGATTTCAGATGGTACGACGGCTTTTTTATGTTAATGCTGAATGGAAAAGTTTATAAGCATATTACGGACAAGATGATGCTTAATCAGGATACAGCCACGAAAAAGAAAGATATGCGCATGGCAGGGAAATTAGCGCTATTCACAGGCTTTGTAAGCATATTTAGTAACAACGAGGATTCTTTGAATTGAGCTCTGTCTTAAAATCGTATCAATTGAAGTGAATCCACTGCTGAGTGCTGAAATTATACGATTTTATCCGTCACAACGAATAGACCAAGAAGAATGCTTTTTCCAGTCGATGGTTTGGAATGTTGCTGACGTATCTATTTCGTTGCAAATGCATCATTATGAAATGATGATCGGTAGTAAATGAGAGATATGTGAATTAAAAAGATGTGTACATTAACTAAACAGTATCTTTGTATGATTACAAAATATCTTCATCTAATTTTTTAGTGAAAATGTCCGAATAATTTGCGTTAGTATTTCTGTGTAAAAAAATATGACGATTATATTACAGTATATCTGACGATTTTAACATAATTATAGAGGTAGGGTGTCTAAATTGTTATCGTTCCATCCAAATGTAGCTTTTATACTATTCGGATAGTATCGATATTTTATGCTGCTTAGAAACAAGTAAAAAGTATTTTAAGACATTTGTATCGTTTCCAGAATATAAAAACTTGTGTTTAGATTACAGATATAATATTGTTTTGGGTATTGGCGTATCTATTTCGTTGCAAATGTATCATTGTGAATTGATGATCGGTAGTAAATGAGAGATATGTGAATTAAAAATATGTACATTACTTAACCTTTCATCTGATTTTTTAATTTTAGTAGTGACAATGTCCGAATTATTTTGCGTTAGTATTCCTGTGTAAAAAAATATGACGATTATACGATTATATTACAATATATCTGAAAAATGTTAGAAAATGAAACAATTGTTTAAAGGTATCCTGTATATCATAGCATCTATTTCCTTCGCCTGTATGGAATGTTAATAAGGCGTAAGATAATATAATTATTAATGTAATATTTCTTAAATGTATATTTCATACTTAATTTTATTTCATAAATACTATCACATTTATTCCTATGAATCGTTTACATTTATTACGCTATTATGAGGTAGGATGTGTAAATTATTACCGTTCCATTCAAATGTAGCTTTTATAGTATTATTTATCGTATCGATACCTTAAGCTGTTTATAAAAAAGTAAAAAGTATTTTAAGACGAAAGAAAAATATAGGGATAGAAATATAAAAATATTTATTATATTGCAAATATATTTTTTATATATTAGTTTTTTATATACACTACCGCTCATTAATTTTAATATACAACAGATTTGTTGATTTCTCTGTAAAAAATGAACATCATGATACGTGTTTTGCACAGAAATGAATGCACTTGCTGTTATAAATATTTCACTTGCATGCATCGCATCTTTATATAAATAATATATAAAATTGCAATGCATGCAAGTGTTGAAGGTGTTTATAACAGCAAATGTATTTAACCGAACTCGAAATCAGTATAAGATAAATCAAAGGACTGCAACGTTAAAAGTTCTTATGACTTGTGTGTGGTTGCTGCACTTTTACAAATTCCACAACTTCTTCACAGTCTGCGCGTAAAAATCAACGTGGCACATTAAGTTGTAAAGTTATACGTTTGCCTTCTTGGAAAAGTTTTTTTGTCTGCATTATAACGACTAATTTGTTTAAATTTATATAGAAAAAAAGATCACCCGAAACTATATATCTTTGGGCCAAGGTTCGATTGATCCCGCTGGAAACTGGGAATCTATAGTTAACGTGACGTACACTATAGATTTTTAGTATTGGCAATCTATAGTTTACGCCACATACACTATACATCTTCGGTCCTAGCGGGAGAAACCAAACGTATGTCAAATAATTACGACAAAATGATGTAAATATCTACATATTATTACTGTAAGCGTATGGAATATAATTTATTTACTTGAAAAATACTGTATATTTCAAAAGATTATTTTATTAAATCATTTTATCCAACATCCATTTAATCCTCTGTTGCAAAACTTAATTGCATATATTGAAATTTAAAAATGTATACAATATATTTCAAAGATTTGTGCAAAAATGAAATAAGCATAAAGCGGGGAGCACACACTTCTGTATAACGCATAATGCGTAAGCATAAGAAAATTGATTGGTTTAAGCGGGGAGCACACACTTCTGCATAACGCATAATCCGTAAAGGCCATCGCACACAAAATGCATAGTTTAGCATAAACGTAGCATAAGACCGCTGGACCAATGAGCATCTTATGTAAATCAATATGGCGACTTTATGCTGGATGCTCATTGGTTTAGCGGTCTTATGTTATGCTTATGCTAAGCTATGCATTTTGTGTGCGATGGCCTTAAGCATAAGAAAATTGATTGGTCCATACACATGTGCATAAGGAAATAGACCAATCAGTTTTCTTATGCTTACGTATTATGCGTTATGCAGAAATGTGTGTTCCGCGCTTTAGGTTAATCCAGACGAACTTGCATAGCGCATAAACATAAGCATATGAGATTTGATTGGTCCATATGCATGTGCATAAGGAAATAGACCAATCCGTTTCTTTATGCATATGGTTATGTACCTATGCAAGTTTGTCTGGATAGACTTTTTATTTTCTTATGCACATGTGTATGAACCAATCAATTTTCTTATGCTTACGCATTATGCGTTATGCAGAGGGGGTCAATCACGAATCTTTTCCCCTAGGGTGGAAATGTGAAAAATGAAAAATCTTTCTTTCTATTGATGTTAAATAGAAAGAGATAGTCATATAAAATTTTTCACTTTCCACGTTCCACATTAATACATGATTAAGTGTGTGCTCCCCGCTTAACCATCGATATGTAATCTTCCATGAACTGCACATGCGCGCATAGACAAAGACAGCAGGGGCCCATATGCAGCGCTTTCTTTCTATTCCTCTATCGCTTTTTCAGCTCGTTTGCGTACTCTATTCTTATATCTCTATGGTTCGTAGTTGCTACATCTTGTCGGTATGACAGGTCTTATAATCTGATAGTCGTCAAATTCGTCAACTTTAACTGTTAATATCTCGCTTTGCGGGGCAGAGCGACGCTTTTTTCTGCCAGATTTTTTCGTTTCACGCAAAAACGCGTTGATTAAGCCTTTCAACGAAATCGGTGAAGAGGCCACTATTCTGCACATTTACCAAAAATAGCATCACAAATAAAAGTAATGTACGTATATTATATTGTGTGTAATATATATTAAGTGTTTTCTATTTACATCAAAACTCAGATAATTCTCACTTGTAACGTCGTTCTATCCTTTTTGGCAATTAATGAATAATAAAGACAGAATGAGAATTATCTGTTACAAATGAGAATTATCTGAGTTTTGATGTAAATGAAAAGCTTCTATTAATGTACTATTAATATGTTACGGGTGAACTTCGCATGGTGACGATCACGTATTTATATATTATGACCCATATTCTTAATTTTCTTTTAGCGATAAAAAAGTACGCTTTTATTTTTAAGATGCTATAATATATGTAACTATAACATTTCAGAAATAAATGCGCGCTTTTATCGATAAAAAAGAGTTGAGAATATGGGTCTATGTATATTATACATAACCTGGCAATGTCGATATTGTATATTATGCGAACTTTGCTCGTAATACATTTTTTTTTGTTTATATGTCGCTTATTTAATAGCATGTAAAAAGAACATTAATCTCTTATTTGGTAATTAAAAGCAAAATGGCGAATAATCGCGATAAATCAATATATCAACCGTTATATATGTATATATAATGTTGCCTTTTTTATATTTTATATTTATTAAGTTCAGTTAACAAAGCAAACATGTGTTAAATTTACATATGAATGTATTGATTACTTAACGCAGCAACTTTAACCAGCAAATTTTTGCATAAAATCATTTCCTATTGTTTTTATTACATTTATATTATTTAATATATATAATCTGAAAAATTAGTTATTATTATTAATATAAAAAAGTGTACAAATTAGAAACTTGCATATTGCTTCTTCATCATTTTAAAATGTGCAAATTAGAAATTTATATATTGCATCATTATTTTATTTATATTTTGCTCACTGATAAAGCTCTTCTATTGAGGAAGCTTATATTTTACTAGATTTTTCACCCGCGCTTCGCGCGGGCTCAAAATCTATTCCTTTCTCCCCAAACTCACTCATTAATTAAGAGCACCAACAGAACCCCATAAAACCCAATTTTCAACTCCATAATAGCCATTTCCATAAAATTAGTAATCTTTTGGTACCAATTTCATCAAAATCATCAACAAAAAATTAGAAAAATTTTGGCACTGGTTTTAAGAAAATCGATTCATTAATACAAAATTATTCATTAATGAAAAATTAAACTTATCCTCCAAAAATTAAAACAAATTTTGGTACTGATTTCAAGAAAATGGGTTAATTAATACTTATTATTTCTCGAAATTTGAATAATTTCCAAACTGGTTTCCAAAAAATTGGTAACAAAAAATTATCCATAAAAAAATTCAGTTTAATATCTCAAAGTTTGCGGAAATTGGAACAATACGTACACTTATACGTACAATACAATCACGTACACTTTTTTTAAACAGAAATCGGCAACTCTTTTAATATTAACAATTTTTCTAATTTAATTACATTTTTTAGTTTTTTCTATCTCTATTTCATATATAAATGTTTAAGATTTGAACAATTATTTCTCAAAAAATTTAAAAAATTTTAGAAAAATTGGTGACAAAAAATTATACACTTTATGGCAATCCCCGAAAAATTCTACCCCTTCATATATAATTTTTCAAGATTCGGTCCATTAACAAATGAGTTCGTGGACAGACAGACAAACAGTCGGGTTTTATATTATAGTAGTTTTCATAACCGATTTTTATAAAACCGGTTTCCAAAAAATCGGTAACAAAAAAGTAAAAATAAAAATAAAAAAAATTATCAAAAAAATTTAGCTTGATATCTCAAAATTTGCGAAAATTAGAGTAATTACGTACATTTTTTTAAACAAAAATTGTAAACTTCTTTATTATTAGCAATTTTTCTAATTCTATTACATTTTTTAGTTCTTTTTTTTCTACCCTTACTTTATATACAATTTTTTAAGATTCAATCAATTAATTCCCGAAAAATTGGATAAATTTCGTAACCGGCTTCCAAAAAGATCGGCAACAAAAAATTATACACTTTATAGCACTTTCCGGAAAGTTCTACCCTTGTTTCATATATAATTCTTCGAGATACGGTCAATTATTTCCCGAAAAATTGGAAAAATTTCTAATACCGGCTTCCAAAAAATCGGTATCAAAAAATTATCCATAAAAATTATCCATAAAAAATATTCAGCTTGATATCTCAAAGTTTGCGAAAATTGGAGCAATCACATACATTTTTTTTTAACAGAAATCGGAAACCCCTTTACTATTAGCAATTTTTCTAATTCTATTACATTCTTTAGTTCTTTCTACTCCTATTTCATACATAATTCTTTAAGATTCGGTCAATTATTTCCTTAAAAATTGAAAAAATTTCGGTACCGGCTTCCAAAAAGATCGGTAATGAAAAATTATACACTTTATAGTACTCCTCGGAAAATTCTATCCCTGTTTGATCTATAAATCTTTAAGATTCGGTCAATTATTTCCAGAAAAATTGTAAAAATTTCTGATACCAGTTTCCAAAAAATTGGTAACAAAAAACTATATACTTTGTGGCATTTCCCGGGAAATTCTACCCTTACTTCATACACAATTTTTTGAGATTCGGTCAATTATTTCCCGAAAAATTGGAGAATTAAAAAAACCGGTTTCCAGAAAATCGGCAACGAAAAACTATACACTTTATGGCACTCCCCGGAAAATTCTACCCCTATTTCATGTACCCTTGATAAAAATTCGGTCCACTAACGAATGAGTAGTTCGCGGTCAGACAGACAGACAGACGTCCGGTACTTATATATATAGATTGTAAGATTTAAAAATTCTAACTTTTGACAACAAAAAGAAATAAACTTATATCTTTTATCAGTAACTTATCTTCTAGTCAAAGTTTAGCTTAAAAAATTCATTTAAGGAGACAAACAAACACTTTGTTAATTATTTAGTTTAAACTAAAACTAAAAAGAGAATAGAGAAATTGGGAT